GAGCGTTCCTAAGTATATTTTGAGCAGTTATTACCCACCATCAGTGCCTTTCAAATGTCACTCACGGATGTTCATCTGTTTGTAGGGAAGCACAAAACTTTTTCCTCTGTTCTTTTCCAAAGTCGTGGAGAGCGTTTTAAATCTCCGAGTCGAACTATGGCAAGTCAATCCAAAATTAAAGTGCTCAAAACCTTTATTTTGAAAAGCCCGATCGGTGCCCGTCAAGTAGTACAGAGAACACTGCTTTCAGTCCTCAGTACCTTCATCTAGAACTGTCAGGTGTGCTCTCATTTAAATAATGTGACAGCTCGCACGAAGCCATCTGACGAGTCTCACATTCGATTGTTAACAGTGCAGCGAAGAAAGTCCAAGAAGCTTTTTTGCAAAGGATTTACCTTCAGTAATTCACATGAACTACTTCACGCCTGGTCGCCTCCCGCCTGCAGGGCTTGGTCTCTCTTGCTCGCTATCTTCGATGGAAGCTGTAAAGACCCACTTTACCTGGAAGGACAGCTGGGAGTTTCAACCGAAAGAAAGTCAGTCTGAAGACGGCTCGAAGGCCGCTTCCGTGCGTACGTGGGGATGTCTAAACACAGGACTGGGGGACAGAGAGCTTCGAATGCATGGAGTTTCAAAACATGTTCTGAGAGACCAGCAGTTGGCCGAATGGCTATGTCGCTGGACTCCCATGTCATTGACCATTGTTCGAATCCCAGACCCGGTAGCTTAAACTCATGCCCCGTCCAAGAGCAGACGCTGTCCTGTGCTGGGGAGTTGTGCAGCCAGCGGGAGTTGTGCACATTTTCAATGCCACCAGAGTGTCAGGGAACCCCAGGGAGGTGCTGCGTAATGGGCTGCCAGGCTTCCTCTGGCTGGGCGTCAGTGAATTCCTTCAGGTGTTCCCGTTAGTGAACAATGATGCATAGAGCGGACATATTATTAATAAAAATGAGGAACCCACACAGGAATGGACTTCTGCTTGTGCCTCAGCACTTAGCAAGGGGCAAGTGAGAAAAGGGTCTTTTCTGCAGCCTGCACTGGGAATGGGTTGGCCAGGTGGGCGTGAACCGGGCCATTCGTCACAGCTGTTAAGACGGGTCCTGCAGAAGGATTTACCAGCACCCACAGGGAGTGCCCGGGCCGGGCAACGGGAGCTTGCTCGACTGTAACACAGAGGACGTTCAATGACTCCGCTATTGAGCACCCTGTCTTACTGGTCAGGCGTGAGTCTTGTGGCCCTGGATGCTCACAATTATGAGAATGCACCACAGGACTTCCAGAAAAGTAAACAGTGCAGCTCAGACAATGCCTGCGTGGGGCGGCTTCCGATTAGTCCCGGCAGTGCGTGCTCTGCAGCACTGACGAGGTGAGGGGCCCAACGGGCTTGGGTGAGAACGAGCTGGCTCTCTCACGTGCATAATGACATAAATCTGAATTAAGGAAGTGCGAAAGTAGACAGGACGCATACGGAGAAAGTTAACAAAAGCCCAAGGGGAGGCTGCCTTTACTCCAAGGTTGGGGGTTGGCTGGGGTGGGCGCCTGCGCGGCATGCGTGCTACTCAGCCCTCTGCAGCCTTGAACAGGCCACTCGTGTGTGTGGAGCTGGTCTGCCCAGCTGGGTGTGTGCAGCAGATGTTTGCTGAGCACCTGCTATGTGCCAGTGTGGTCTGGAGCACTGAGGATACTCAGGGAGTGAGGACACAGACTGAGCCCTCGTCTTCCCTGTGTCCTCGGCTCCCACAGGAGCGAACTGTTAAATAAAGAGAAGCCTCTGCAGCCAGGAAGAACTGTGCATTGTCTACTTAGCATTCATGAATGTTTGCTCAGCGGTGCCTGGCGCTGTCTCAAGTACGTCTATTTGCGTTACCAAACCTCGTCCACATAACTAACAACCCTAAGAAGCGGGAACCAGTCACCTCGCTTTCCAGATGAGGAAGCATGGCCCGGACACAGATACAAGTGCCAGCCTCTTGTCCATGCACTGGCCACGCCCAGGTGGGAAACTCTGGACCAATCCTGAGGCCCTTACTGGCCGATGGGCACCAATTGCTCGGCCCAGGAGTTGTGGCTGAAAGGCAGGCCCTGTGTCTTCTGCCCCGCGAGCACCTGACTCTGTTAGCTGGAGAGCGCGCCCTGTGAGCCAGAGAGCGTGCCCTGTGAGCCCAGGTCAGCCTCTGAAGGAGACGCCTGAGGCCTACACTGGGCAGGGCCTGTGGTGTCAGCTCAGGACAAGCAGAGAGGGACTTGTAAAGAGGCCTCTTCCTCAGAGCTTCTCACACCTAGCCCGGGAGAGAAAGTTTGCATAACCCTCTTTGCCTCTGGGTAGAAAACTGTAGGGTGGAATTCACCCAGACTGAGAAGCCGAGGAATCCTGAATCCGGCGCCTGTGGCGTGCAGGTATTGTAACTCCCGTTTTCCATCCTCCCGTTCGAAACAGCCGCTTAGCAAGAAACCAAGACCCCGTCTGTGCTGGCTGTGACTCCCCACTGCCAGGGCACACAAGAAACCAAGACCCCGTCTGTGCTGGCTGTGACTCCCCACTGCCAGGGCACACGGCTCCTCCGCAGACAGGCTCGTTTAAGTCTTCAAAACACCAAAACGAAGGCTTCTCACCCTTACCACCAATCTTGCGTGCTTGGCTCTCGAAGGCGATGTAGTCTGGTTTGGGGAAGGGGCTTATCGACCTGCACCGTTTTCAGACTCTGTGGTTGGTTCTCAGACAAACGGGGTTTCTGTGTGCGTGAACATGGACTTTGCCTCTGTACCAGGTCTGAGAACGGCAGCCCAGAGGGGCTCAGTTTTCACTTGATTTCAACCAGGAAATTGTTCTGTTTTCTGCAGCGAAGTTTGACTCTCCAGCCCCTGACAAGACGTGCGACTGGACCCCAGCCTGGTGATGTGTCCCTGCATCTCGGGGATGTGAGGTCTCCCCTCCCAGCAGAGAAGTTGAAAGAGTGACTTCGTTACTGAGTTTTCAAATTCTCCCCAGCACGGATCAGAAAAGACATTTCTGTTCAGAGCTGCCACATTACAAGCAGGCGGAACAATTTGCATAGTTTCCAGGGGGCTCAGGGGAAGGGGAGCGTTTAGTTCCCAAGCAATTATCATTATTTTCAATAGAGTTACGGTGCCACAAAGTGGATCCATTTCTTGCTGCAAAATAAGCAAGAAATGGATTAGCTGTTTTTGCAGCACGGTACATTTCGCTCCTTGGCCACATTCTGCCGGCGTGGCACTCCTCTGTGTGGGCGTGGAAACTGCCTTCGCTGTCGGTGCTGCAAACTCTCAGGAGACCGACTTGATGGAGTCCCTGAAGTCAAAGGCACTTTGGGTCCGAAGGGGAAAGTGAGACACCACAGAGGGAGAGAGCGAGCTGCCGAGACAGCTACTGTCGTCAGCACACGGCCATCTGTTTGCCCGTTCTTGTCGGTCACTCTGGGTCTCCTCCCACTGGCACAGGCCTTGGAAAAGACTGCAGCAGGCCGGGTCACACAGCTAGCATCCTCCTCACAAAGAGCTGTGTGCAGAGAACGCAGTGTCAACGGGCGCAGTGGAAGGGGAGAAATCTGGGTACGCTCTGTCTCTAATGTGCAAACCGGAGGGACACAGGCAGGGCTGTGAACAACTGGGGCCAGTCTTAGCTTTCCCGCCTGTTGGTCTGACCCGATCAGCTGTCTCTTCCCACCTAGTGTAGCTGTGTGTCCAAGTTACCTGGCAGTGTCCCTCAGCAGCCTGTTTTCAGACCCACCTGTGACATGGAGACAAAGACCCCCTGACTCCCACAGGAAGAGAGGCTTAGCAGACCCAGGTCCCAGCCAGCCAGGGGAGCGGGAGGGCAAGGCAGAGAGCAGACCCACCGTGGGCTTTGGGATCCATGGCAGGGGATACGTCTCGGGGGTCTTCAGAAAGTTCATGAAAATGTGTATTATGGAAAACGTTGCATGGATTTCAAAAATGTTTGGCACCAAAAGAAACTTGTACTTTAGTTAGATTTTCCTACAGACATTTTGAAGTCCCCCCTGACTCTACAAATGGAAACGACTGTAGAGAGTGCCTTACCCACCTCCAGGCTGCACAGGTGAGGAGAATAAGGCCCACAGGTAGCTGGGAAGCTGAGATGAGAGCTGACCTGGGTCCCCTGTCTCGGTTCTGTAGACTGGGTATGCGATCTTGCTCCCGGTTAAAATGGCAGCAGGGCCAGCCAGTTCAAAGTGGCTGAAATGACAAGGGGCGTCATCATGTCATCTTATAAGGAGCACGGGGCCAGCCCTAAGGCCTGGTGGGTGGGGAGCCAGATCCCACGTGGCCGACCAGGTGGTTCAGTTCCTGGCCCCAGTGACTTGAGAAACACGCCAGGTGCATGTGCAGGTGTGCCCCTAACCCTAACAGCAGAGGAATGGTGGAAATGCAACTGCAGTGTGACCACACTCCATGGGGACTTTCTCCCTTTCCTGTTTCTCTGTCTGTCTCTGGCAAGCACATATATGCCTTGTAACAAAAGAAAAAAGAGAAGAGAGAAAGAAAGAAAAAGAAAGAAAGAAAGAAAGAAAGAAAGAGAGAGAGAGAGAGAAAGAAAGAAAGAAAGAAAGAAAGAAAGAGAGAGAGAGAGAGAAAGAAAGAAAGAAAGAAAGAAAGAAAGAGAGAGAGAGAGAGAAAGAAAGAAAGAAAGAAAGAAAGAAAGAAGGAAGGAAGGGAAGAAAGGAAAGAAAAGAAAAGAAAGAAAGGAAGGAAGGAAAGCAAGCAAGCAAGCGCAAGCAAACAAGGAATCAGAGCAAGGTCGCACCAGGTACAGAATGGGAGCATTCCAGAACCTGCGGGTCCTGACTTTGCGGGTGACTGCCCAGCCAGCATCCTCACGGGAGCTTCCGTATAGGCTAGGTGTCGCCGTCACAGAGGTGACATTGCCCCCCGAAGGGTGAGAGCACCCTGGCACAGAGGTATGGCTGGCGTTGTCTTCTCATGGCCAGAGCTTATGCCTGTCCATAAACCCCATGGAGAAAGTGCCTGGGGAAATAAACACGCTTTTATGGAGTCACTTTCCATGGGTCAATAGTGATCCAAATGGGAGACAACCAGCCCTCCAATAGGTTCTCAGACCTGGGTATTAGCCTTCATTTAATGCTTTCCGGGCTCATCTTTGTGACCAGAATCATGCTTGGCTAACTTACAGCAAGCAACGTTGTCTAACTCTAGATCCATTTGTATTTCTTCGCTGTAGAAAAAATAAGTAAACGAAATCACGATTGTTGGGCAGAGTCGCAGCAGTACGGGTCGTGTGTGTGCCTCAGCCTTGAGGTCGCTTCTGAAGACGGGGCAAGGCCATGGATGAGGTGGGAGGTGCATGATAGGTGTGAACACCTGCCTGCATCCTGAGAGAGCTTCGGAGACTTCCCCCACCAAGCTGCCCCCACTTCTCCCTGCATCTCTGAAAGACCAGACTACTACTCTTTAAAAAAAAAAAAAAATGAAGTGAAATTTATACAACATAAAATTATTTGTGTGCAAATTATTTTTATTTTATTTTTTTTTTTTGCCATAGGGTATGTCTGCTTACCAGAGGGAAACAGAGAGAGGGAAAGTGAGAAAGACCCACCCAGGGGGTATGGCCATGCTGCAGTCCCTTCTCCTGCATTCTCCTCTTGGGATTTTGAGCACACGTGCACATGTGCCAGGCATGAGTTTCAAGTCACCCCTGTCTGGGACTTGAACCACGGCTAGCCAAGTGGGAGCTCTGTGCCTTCCCATTTGCTGGCCTCACTTGAGTGCAATTTTGAGGTGCACAATTAGTGGCGTTTAGCACATTCACAATGGGGAACACCCTCCCCCTTTCTAGTTCGGAAACGTTTTCTGCATCCCTAGAGGAGATCGCCATTTACCTGGACTAACATAACCTTTGTTTTTTTTTTTTTTTGGAGAGGTTTTTGCTATAGGGCGCGTGCGCTCGCCAGAGAGAGACAGAGAGACAGAAAGCGAGAAATCACCCCCCAGGGGGGATGGTCACGCCGCAAGCCCTTCTCCTCCATTCTCCTCTCGGGATCTTGGGCACGCACACACACGTGCCCGGCGTGAGTTTTAAGCCACCGGGTCCGGGACGCGAACCACGGTTGACTACGTGGGAGTCCAGCGACATAGCCATTACGCTCACTGCTGGTTCCCCCTGGCGTGAGTTTTAAGCCACCGGGTCCGGGACGCGAACCACGGTTGACTACGTGGGAGTCCAGCGACATAGCCATTACGCTCACTGCTGGTTCCCCCTGGCGTGAGTTTTAAGCCACCGGGTCCGGGACGCGAACCACGGTTGACTACGTGGGAGTCCAGCGACATAGCCATTACGCTCACTGCTGGTTCCCCCTGGCGTGAGTTTTAAGCCACCGGGTCCGGGACGCGAACCACGGTTGACTACGTGGGAGTCCAGCAACATAGCCAATACGCTAACTGCTGGTTCCCTAACATAACCTTCTAAGGCCACTTTCAATGACGTGACTCTCTGGCACCCAGCTAGGAACTGGACTCAGCTCTGTGGCAGTGCCTTCCAGCTGGTGAGGTCATGGAGCTTACCTGGTAATTGCAGGACATCTGCGCACTTGTCCCTAACAAACCCAGCCGGGGTGGATGACTGACGTGCTCTGGCAAGTGGCTCTGTGATTGATCATTGCAGCCTGAGCAGTGCTCTGCAGCTGGGCACTTCCTCGGTTTGGGGCCAGCTGAATGTCCATCAAGTGACATCCTTGGCAGTGGAGACCCGGGACCGGCTTGCGCAAATACATTTGGCTCCGGGACAGGGGAGTTACGCTGTTTGTCACCTTCGTTCTGTGTTAGTGGAGGCATGCTCTCCTACGAACTCAGATTCCTGAATCGAGGGGCATTTTTGTGGTCACCTCCTGGATGGAATGAGTCCGTGCCTGCCACTCCCATTGGGGCTGAGGTGGAGGGTTGGGGTCGTCTTGTAGGGTTGAGCCTTAGCCTGGCAAGGGTGAGTTTGTACTCTCTGGTCCCAGCGCTTTCACCTCTGCAAGGAAAGAAGGGTTGTGGCCGGCACGTTCCCAGTGTGGTTTGGCTGTGAAATTCCTTGTACAGAGATTCAACATGGACACCCCAGACGCCCCGCAGGTGAGCTCAGACACGCCGAGGCGAGGAAGACAGTGACCGTGCCTCCTCCTTTCCTGCTCCTCTGCGCCGAGGCTCAGGGGAGGCCCCCCACGTCACCCAAGGCACAGCGGGAAACCACTGACCTTGTCTGGACACGATGTCCAAGCACTTGCATGGAGTTTCTGTTTCTTTGTTAGCCTCCAGGTCACTCCGAGATGCGGATGTACAATCCCACAGGCCTCCGAATCCACTGCCGTGGGACCCCGCCCGGGCTCCTGCCTGTTTCCCATTGCTCACCGGCCGTTCCCACCCCCACTCCCAGCTCGGAGTACCTCCCACCTCCGCAGGCCCTGGGCATGTTTCCACGCTGCCTTCTTTCCCTTTTCTATTTTTTTTTTTAAGTTTTATTTTGCCATAGGGCATGTGCACTTGCCAGGGGAGACAGAGAGAGACAGTGAGAGAGAGAGTGAGAAATCTGCCCTCGGGGGTGGCCACGCCACAGCTCCTTCTCCCCTTGGGATTTGGGGCATGCACGCACACATGCACGGCATGGTTTGCAAGCTGTCATGTCTGGAGTTCCAACTTCAGTTGGCCACATGGGAGGCCAGTGCCTTAACCATCATGCCACCTGCTGCCCCCACGCTGTCTTCCTGAGGGCTCCATTCTGCATGGGCATTCTGAAGGCTCTTTGAGGCTTATTACTCAATTTTCCAGAGCCCTTAGGAGAGCCTCTGCACCCGTGCCGGCAGCTGCTGCTTCTCCAACGTGCGGTCTGCAGACCAGGTGCAGCGGGGGGATTCTGTCTTGGAGGCTCAGGGTCTGAACTCCCCTTGTGTCCTTGGTGCTGCCATGATCTCAGGGCCCACACAGAGACCATGTGAGCACACATCGAGGAAGGCTCATGAACAAAAGCTCTGCACCAACCCCCGCCGCCATTACCGAGGGCGGCCTACACAGCAAAAGGTAGCCCCGACCCTCCCAGGGACGGAACTAGTGATGCCATGATTGGTTGGGTCTGACCACCTCTTCAGCTGGCCCGGCACATGGGCCTGATGTCAGATCAAGTATTGGAGCGTGAGGGCATCTCCCAATGCCACCTGAAGTCCTGGAGGAAACGGACTCTCAGAGTGCTAGCACTGTGCTGTGTAGGCCGGCTGTATCATTGTGTGGTCGAGTGCAGGATAAAAATGCAAGGTCCCTCGTCCAAAAGGTACAGAAGGCATTCTCCTTTGTCCACAGTCTCGTCACCTGTCACGGGTTTTATCTGCCACTCGATGTTGTACCCCTCTCTCAGCACAGTGACACCCATGGGAGCTGGTACAGTTCCTCACAGGGGCACGGCCCCCACCTGACCTCCCTGCACGTGGTCAGGGTGGAGGGTGGCGGTGGTCGGTGAGCAGGAGGGGTGGGAGTTAGGGGAGAATCCATTCCCAGGAGGCGGAGAGCCAGTGGGAGGGCGAGAGTCGTGGTTCACATTCCGTTGTCTCTGTCGTCTCTTCACAAGCTCAGAGATGATGTCATCATGAATTCCAGATGGTGACAGCCCAAGAGAGGGGACTCCTGCCAAGTCCGGGGTACCCGTGAGCCCCAGAGCCCAGCCCTGCGGGTGGGTACACAGCAACAGCCTTCTCTGGGCTCGATGACCACAGGGACACCTGGAGGAGGAGAGCGAGCGCTCCCAGCTGGGGCATGACGCCCAGAGGAATGGTAACAGCTGTAAAACGGACGCCGATAAAGGCTCTTCTGTCAGAGAAGGTCACGGTTGCCCTTCATTTCTGGCATGCGGAGAAAGCACAGCTGATGGAGAGCGCTCCCAGTGGGTGGGCGTTAGCGTTCAGGCCAGCTATTCCGGAGAAAGGGGGATTTAGCAAGTTGGTTTCAAAACTTCTCTTTACCTTTTTAAGCACACCTGATGACTGTGTACCAAGGACACATACACACACACACACATGACTGGTGTGGTCATAGAGGTGTGACGAGGGAGAGAAAATGAATACCAGGCTGGGGAAGAGCAGGGAGGAAGCCATTTTTAAGTTGAAATCTATCTTTTTCAGTGTCTGGTCTTGCATTTCCTTTCCCCCCAAACAGTTGTAGATCAAGGCTCAGCTTCTCAAGATGCGTTTAGGAAGAGCAGCTTTGGGCCTAAGGAAGTGCACACCTCAGTAGTTCCTGGGAAGCCAGGGGTCTCTCTGGCATGCACCCAGAAACGAGTGCCCCTTACTCCTGCCCACTGGAGCACAGGGTTGAGGGACCCACTTCCTCTTTAACCGGAGGACCTCTGGGTTCACCAGCAGGGGCACTGTGGTCACCTCTCAGCTTCCTGCCTAAACCAACACCAAGCACTTAGCTGTGAGGCTTTACTCATAACTCAGAGGGGTCTCCAAGAATGGGAAAGACTGGGGCCTTGGGAAATAAGGGAACTTCGGCCTGCATACCCCAGACCCCTCGTGTCTATTCGCATGCCGTGTTTGTTCCGGAGAGCTTGGGTTTCAGGGTGGGTCTGTGCCCGGTGCCTGCATGCTACCGCTTTGACGTGGACAGCCGTAGAGGAAGCCACTCTAAACATGGGTAGTTACGGGACGGGGTGAAGTTCGGCGCTGACTCACTCTTTTAACTAGCTGAAGACTAGAACATAAACACCTTGAATGTATGGGTGGCGGATGTCACTAGAACTGCAGGTAAGTTCTGATTTCTCGCTTTTTATGTTACAATTTCTGGTTTGTATTTCTTTGATGTACATCTCCGTGACGTACAGCACAGCTTTTCCAAACGTGCGGTGTGTGATCATCAGGTGAAAGCTACTGCCCTAATCGTTATCTTCCACGAGGCCGTCACGGTTGGTTCGCCTTTGCTATTTGTTCCAGCTTTTGTCTCTGGAGCCGCGTATGTAAGATGCGCCAGGACTTTTGGTTTTGTTTTGGTTTTACCATCTATCGTAGTGCACCATTCCATGACCTATCCGCCTTGCTGACGAGCATTCTCGTTTCTGTTTTCAATCTACATGCTCTTCCAAAGGCTCAAACTCATGAGCCTTTTACCAGCAAAATGGGCTTCCACCAGGCTGCTGAGGTGACGTGCACAGGTACCAACGCCTGTGTTGTGAGTTGATGGCCGTGCTGTTGAACGGCCAGATTCTCTGGGGTCAGATGCTAAGAAAGTGCCCTCAGCAGCTGAGCACGGTGGGGTTTAGCCACCACACGGATTTAGACACGGCCAACAGCACCGCTGATAATGAGCCCCAGTGGCCTCAGTGGGAAATATCAACTGTGAGCTCAGCAATCGCTCAGCACTCGCCCTGTGTCTGCGCTGAAGGACCCGACTGGCCAGATAAAAATCTGAGTGACACATAGCAACAGGGTGATAATTCCAGGGGGTGGCAGTCCTGCGGTGTGAAGCAGGCCCTGCAGGAGGGTCCCCTTGATGCTCCTGGCTTGAGCTGACCCTCCCCAGGGTCACCATAGTCCTTACGAGTTCTGTCCTCGGCTTCTCCCAGGGAGTCACCCACCCCAGTCCGAGGCAGAGCGGCACCTGTGGCTGTTTGTCTGGCCGTGGTGAGCCAGGGTCTGGCTCTCTCCTAACCCCTCACCCGTGTTCTCTAAGCTGCAGCTTCAAAAGTTCATGAAGTAGGACTGGAGTTCTGATGGCTTGCTCAGCAAGTTCTTCATTGTTATAAAGGTCTCATTGCTTAAGCATAATCTAGCAAAATTGCCAGGCCCCTTTCCCTCTCCAAACTCTCAGACTTGTAAGGGAAGCAAAAATGTCTGGTGAGTCCTCGGAGTAACTGTGCCCAGGTTAGAACTACCTGGAGACTACATGGAAGGTTCCAGAAAGGCAATGGTACCTCATAGGAGATGACAGATTACTCCAGAACCCAGCCTGTTCACGTTCAAGTCCTCCCTCTGCCACCCACCAGGCAGCGGGGAGAGCTCCCAGAGCCCCGTGCCTCAGTCTCCTCAGTTCGTACGGAAGGTTGATCATGCCTGTACTCAGAGCCCGGTCGCGAGCCGGTCGATGGAAACACGAAGTGCTCGAGGTGCAAGCATTGGTGCCTGCACTGTGCTGGGCACTGTGACAAATCCCTGCCCCGTGGAGTCGGTGTTCTGCGTGGTGGGGCACTGGGCGGCCGCGCAGGAAGGTCACGAGCCCATCGTGTCAGATGCAGCCGCCCTTTGGCAATCAGCCGTGCTCACGCTCGAGTTGGGGCAAATCCTTCCTTGAGCTTTGGCTGTGTGGGACAAAACTCCCAACGCGGTGTTTTGCCAACCAGCAGCCCACGAGCACGCAAAATGTGCTGCCAGCAGCCCCCGCAGTCCAGGAGGTACCCCGGCCAGCCTCGGCCTCGACCCCACCTGCCCGTCAGGGAATGGGCGTTGTGTTTTGCATCAGCGGTGAACTGGGTCAAAGTTTAGTCAATCAAAAGTTGTGTCAAGACTCCTGGTGGTTGGCCCGGGGGCCCGAGGCCTCCTGGCATTCATTAACAATTCTTCGTTCAATGATTATCTCCTGGGGTTTATTGTGGGGAGCTGGTCCAAAGCGCACTGACCATGGCCAGGATCCAGACCCTGCCCCTGACGTCAGAGGCGAGCCTCCCTGGGTGTAGCTGAGGGCAGGGCCCCTCTCCTCCACCGTATTTAAGGCCCGGAGGTTGTGCTACCGAGCACAGCCTTCCCACTGGGAACACACTCTCGCCAGCGGGAAGAATCCAGGAAGAAACCCTGGGATCTCGGATCGGGATCCTCCAACGAGGAGCAGGGTAGGCAGGGCTTCCTCATTTACGCGGGACTCACAGCAGCTCGCATAGTTTCTTCTCCCGTAGAGCATCATTCTCTGGCAACCTGTGGCCCGAAGTCAATGGCCGTTTGAAGGCACAGCCGTGGCTTTGGCTCAGGAGGCCCGCGCTTTCTATTCCAGGTAACCTTCGTGTCTGTGCCCCTCGGCTGCAGCAATGCCTCCTCAGCTGTCCAACGGCCTGAACTTCTCGGCCAAGGTCATCCAGGGCACCCTCGACAGCCTGCCTGTCGCAGTGAGGGAGTTCGTGGAGAGCAGTGCTGCCCTGTGCCAGCCCGACCGCATCCACATCTGCGATGGGTCCGAGGAGGAGAACCAGCAGCTCCTGGACCACATGGAAGAGCAGGGCATCATCAGGCGGCTGAGCAAGTACGACAACTGGTAAGTCGGCCCTGCAGCTCCAGCCCACCCTTCCTACCTCCCTCCATCTCCTCGGGCTGGTGGGAAGAGTGAGTGAAGACCTCTGGGGGCGTGGGCTCTTGAAAAACTCAATGAGACGGTCAGAGCCATGCAGGCCTTACTTTTACGGCAGCAGAAGGGCAGCCCAAGCCTTAAATGAGAGACACATCAGACAGTACCCTCCTGATCACAGCGGACACAGCCCTGATCCTGCAGGACCATCTCCCGGCTCATACTGCCATCCGGCCATGCCCTCGCTGGCTCTGCCATGCACCTTCACGGAGCATCGGCACGGGGCACGGGCACAGGGTGGAGTAAGACTGGTCCCTTCTGAACCATGCTTGGCTGAGGGAATCCTGTGGCTTTTTGCAGCTGGCTGGCTCTCACTGACCCCAGGGATGTGGCCAGGATTGAAAGCAAGACAGTCATCATCACCCAAGAGCAGAGGGACACGGTGCCCATCCCCCGGGCGGGCCTGAGCCAACTGGGGCGCTGGATGTCGGAGGAGGACTTCGAGAAAGCGTTCAGTCTCAGATTCCCAGGGTGCATGAAAGGTGAGCGGAGCCCTTATTCCACCCGGTGACGCAGAGGCAGACCTGTGATTGTTGTACCTCTCCTGCAAGGACAACTGTGACAGTGACAGAAACTCCCATGGCCCCAGATAGCTTTCAATTCCAGATGGGAAATTGGCAATGTATGGAAAATGCATATCTCGGTTCTCAGTTCACGGACTGTCATATATGAACGTGAAAAAATGTCCGTGCATATGAATTTAAAATTGCTCGATGGAACGAATTCTATCTATTTGAGAATGCCTTCATTCCACCCTTCTGTTCACTTGCAGCGGACTCTTCTAAACCAGAGGGGTGGCTGGCAAGGAGGGAGTGATGTTGAGGAGACCAGGAGGAGGGGTCCAAGAGTTTGATGAGTCCTGGGTCAGTTCTGACCAGTCCCCTCTCTGGGCCCCACAGGCCGCACCATGTACGTCATCCCGTTCAGCATGGGGCCGCTGGGCTCGCCGCTGTCCAAGATAGGCATCGAGCTGACGGACTCGCCCTACGTGGTGACCAGCATGCGGATCATGACGCGAATGGGCGCCCCCGTCCTGGAAGCCCTGGGCGACGGGGAATTTGTCAAGTGCCTCCATTCTGTGGGGTGCCCTTTGCCTTTAAAAAGTAAGTGTGTGATTTCAAACCCAAAAGTTGGCAGACGAGAACGAGCCCCGCCGTAACCCCTTCAGTGCCGGAGCTCCTCCATGTGCACTAATGCCGGCTGGGTCCTGTTTACAGAGCCCCTGGTCAACAACTGGGCCTGCAACCCAGAGCTGACGCTCATCGCCCACCTGCCCGACCGCAGAGAGATCATCTCCTTCGGAAGCGGGTACGGCGGGAACTCACTGCTCGGGAAGAAGTGCTTTGCGCTCCGGATGGCCAGCCGGCTGGCCAAAGAGGAAGGGTGGCTGGCAGAGCACATGCTGGTACGTGTCCCGGGCATCCAACCTGTGCGTCTCAGAGGGCCTGGGGGTGGCGAGTGCAAAGGCAGGTGTAGTTTGCACGGGTGAGACCCGGCATGCGACTCTGTGCAGCGGTCACAGACCCACGGGGAGTTCCTGCGGTGGTTACTACACACACACCAGTACATGGCCCTTTTGAAGGCGCTCAAGTGCAATGAGAGGCGTTTCGGCCTTCATAGTCTTTAAATGTTGGTGCGAGATCGAAGGGTTAGATTCGAAGGCCTGCAGTCCTGGGGCTTCTAGACTGAGGTACTGGCCTCTGGGGGAGAAGGGAGCAAAGATCTTACTGAAGAAGCCTGTCCCGCAGATCCTGGGGATCACCAACCCCGAGGGGGAGAAGAAGTACCTGGCAGCTGCGTTTCCCAGTGCCTGTGGGAAGACCAACCTGGCCATGATGAACCCCACCCTCCCTGGCTGGAAGATCGAGTGTGTCGGGGATGACATCGCCTGGATGAAGTTCGATGAGCAAGGTGACCCTTCCAGGCCCAGCTGTGGCGGATAATCGGGCTTCAGTGCATTAGTTGTTGGCTTTCAACACATGCCAGATTGTCCTGTTTTTAACTGAGTTAGTTTGGATTTCGCAAAGCCTTAGAAATAAGCATTCCATAAGCCTCCTTCCAATTTAATATCCAAGCTGGATTGAAATAGGACCATATGCTGCTGTTTGTTTTACATAAATCTGTTAAAGCAGCGTTGGTGGAAAATTGAAGAAGAAAGAGTTGTAAAAGCCTCGAAGTTGAATATGATGCTTGGAGGAGAAAAGACAAATGCATTCATACAGAGAGGGGGAAATGAGCATTTGGTACAAATATGAGAAGACTTAAGAATCTATCTTACGCTTTGCTTAGCATTCATTTCTACTTTTCTGTTTAAAACTTCCAGGTAACTTAAGGGCTATCAACCCAGAAAATGGTTTTTTTGGTGTTGCTCCTGGGACCTCTGTGAAGACAAACCCTAACGCCATTCAGACCATCCAGAAGAACACCATCTTCACCAACGTGGCCGAGACCAGCGATGGGGGTGTTTACTGGGAAGGCATTGACGAGCCGCTGGCCCCGGGCGTCACCATCACTTCCTGGAAGAACAAGGAGTGGAGTCCGGAAGACAGTGAGTCCCTCTGGAGGCCGCGGTGCTCTGGGCTGCAGGTGCCACCTGCTGGGCCAGACAGTGAGAGGCCTCTTGCTCTCTTCCTGCAGAGGAACCGTGCGCCCACCCCAACTCGCGGTTCTGCACCCCTGCCAGCCAGTGCCCGATCATTGACGCTGCCTGGGAGTCCCCGGAAGGTGTGCCCATCGAGGGCATCATCTTCGGAGGCCGCAGACCTGCAGGTGAGGCTCTCCGTGCTTAGTCACAAGCTCTTGGCCACCTGAGCACACCCTGAACGTGCTCTTCCCACGACCCTGTGCCAAGGGCTCCACCTTCCTTCCACAAACCCAGAGCAGCGGGCAAGCTCATTGTACAGCCCACCTCTGGCCACCTAGGGTCTTCCTGACCTTGGCTCTAGTGTAGCTTGATCCTATTTTACTTTTTATTTTATGGCCTTGGTGTAACATTGACTTAGTTGTCTGTATTTTAGCTTTGGGACTGAACAGGAGTTCAGTTAAAAAGGCTGTTTTGCTGTGGCCTTCTGTGTTGTGAAGTGACTTCACTGTAGCATCTAAATCTTAAAGGAATTTTTCTTTGCTTTCTGCTAAAGGCGTTCCTCTGGTCTATGAAGCCCTCAACTGGCAGCACGGTGTGTTCGTGGGGGCAGCCATGAGATCAGAGGCCACAGCAGCTGCGGAACACAGAGGTGAGTCTCAGTCAAGACTGGAAGCCGTGAGGGTGATTAGAGCAGTTCTCTCTCTCTCTCTCTCTCTCTCTCTGGCTGTATGTACAAAGAGAGAGAGAGAGGGGGAGAGAAGGAGGGGGAGGGACGGAGAACCAAGGGCACTTACGTCTACAAATGGCAGCCGGAATTGCCCACGAGAGAACCGTTTACCAATGGGTCCTCTCTCGATTTAACAGGCAAAGTCATCATGCATGACCCCTTTGCCATGCGGCCCTTCTTTGGCTACAACTTTGGCAAATACCTGGCCCACTGGCTGAGCATGGCCCAGCGCCCTGCAGCCAAGCTGCCCAAGATCTTCCATGTCAACTGGTTCCGGAAGGACAAGGAAGGCAAATTCCTCTGGCCGGGTTTTGGAGAGAACTCCAGGGTGTTGGAGTGGATGTTCAACCGGATCAATGGTGAAGACAGCGCCATGCTCACACCCATAGGCTACGTCCCTAAGGAGGACGCCCTGAATCTGAAGGGCCTGGGGGACGTCAATGTGAAGGAGCTCTTCAGCATCTCCAAGGAGTTCTGGGAGGAGGAGGTGGAGGAGATCGAGAGGTACCTGGAGGATCAGGTCAATGCCGACCTCCCCTATGAGATCGAGAGGGAGGTGCTCGCCCTGAAGCAAAGAATAAGCCAGATGTAACCAGAGCCTGAGAACACCACCCCTGTGATCACCCATCACCGCTTTTCCAATCCTTAAGATGCAGAGGAGCGAGAAAAGGCGAGTGTCCCCAAATCCACCCCACTGCCAGCATGCTCACAGCCACGCGGACCACCAGACCTGAAGGGCACGCTGTAATTGTTTAGATACGGGCCACAGAGTACAGGCGAGTCACTAGGAGATTGGGAAGGAAATCTTAGCACCACTCCCAAATTCACAGCTGTAGGCCTCTCAGGCATTGGGTTTTGTGTTTTGTTTTTTGTTTTTTTTCACTTCAGCTATATGGGTTAGTGCGATGCACAGAAAAACTCCTTGAGCTGTATGTGTGTGTGTGTGTGTGTGTGTGTGTGCGCGTGTGGTGCATGTGCACACGTGTATCTGTATGTACTGTTATCTAAGATGTATTTAATACCTTTGGAAAAATCGAGGGCAAGATTACCTACTGTCGTTAGGAAGAAATGTTGCTTGTTATTAATACATGTGTTTAAATTATTTTTATACAGCACTGTTCCTTTTCATAATTGCAATGTTTCCCCCTTACCACATCTTTAAAAAAATTGCAAAATAAACTTTTATAGAAAAGATGGTTTTGTTTTGCTTGGCTTCTTACTTGAACCACTTAGAAGTGATGATTAAGCACTTGGAACCCAAACCCCGCAAAGCCCTTCTTCCTGGACAGTGGGTTCCTGTCTGCTCACTTCCAAGCAGGTGGGGGCTGGCTGGCTAGAGGACCCAGGAAGGAGCCCCATGGGGAGGGCTGAGCAGGGAGGGGCTGCAGAGGTGACTCGGAGCTGAGATTTCCGATTAGCCGGGGCCACTAGTTGGCGCTCTTCCTCAATTCCATGAGCCTTTAAATGGCGGGTCTGTCAAGCTGGACTGGCAGTGTAATATGTGGTCTTGGACAAAACTTCGGGTCTGGGGGCCCAGGCTTCCCGAGAATTGCCTCTTGGATAATCCCGCAGGCTTTGCCTTACTTTTTATTTTTACTTTTTTATTTTTTAGTTTTTTGCCACTGGGTGTGTGTGCTTGCTGGAGAGAGGCAGAGAGGGACAGAGAGAGGGACAGTGAGACATCACCCTCTTGGGATTTTAGGCACAAACGCACACCCGCCTGGAGTGATCTTTCAAGCTGCTGGGTCTGGGACTCAAACCTTGCAGCTGGCCGTGTGGGATCCAGCACCTTAACCACCACACCACCTGCTGGCCTCAAGCGTTTACTTTTTTTTTTTTTAAGCAATAGTTTTCTCTACTGCCCTCCCCAGGGAAGAGGGTGGGGAGAAAGTGACTCCCAGAAGGCTCTCCAAAGGGACCATCTCTGGCAGCATGAATCAGCCCCTTCTGTACCTGAGACGCCCCAGCACAGTGGGCTGCTCTGAGAAGTGGGTGGTGGAGGGCCTTGCCCGGCCTTGCACCTTGCCCAGCCTCTCCTGCAACTGGGTGCTCACTGGGGGTTTAGTGCAGTGCACGCTGCCATGAGCTTCCTGCTCACACGATTCTGCGGAGATGCACTCTCCAGGGGGTGCGCACCTGACGGCCCAGCTGTGCGGTCAGCCCTCAGCGCTGGCTCTCGCGCTCATCACGGCAGCCCAGGGTTCCCCCTTCACAGCCGTCCCCCTCAGCTCCCTGTGGAGGGTAAAGTCGAGGCCACTCCCAGTTTACATATGGGGAAACTGAGGCTAGGAATGTCCCTCAGGGCTGGGAAATAGCCAGAGTTTTCCTCCCCTCTAAGGAGCCACATCCAGTTCAGTCCTCCAGACGGACAGGCACCTTCTGCGGCAGTGTGAGCAGAGGATGTGCCTGGGTGTGAGACGCTGCCCGCTGAGCTGGTCTGTCTCACATGGCTCTGCCGTCCGGGACCTGGCTTCTCAGTGCCGTGGAGTGGGATTGAGGAGCATGGAGGAGCATTGGGCAGCATTTAGTCCACAGCAGCATTGGTCGCAGGGCCAAGCTCACATTCGCCTTGTTGACGACACCTGCCAGCGTCCGCATTGAAGCTTGTTCCTGGGGTGCTCAGTCTGCAACCCCTTTATGGCTGTGAGCCCCCAGTGATGGCCATGTAAGCGTGAGTGTGCCAGACTGGCAAAACTCCTCTCCAGGCGGAGCAATTTGCAGCAAAATATGCTGCAAATATTTGTCTGGCCCAGGAAAATTACTTTAATTGCATAATTAAACACGTAGATGCTGCTTCCAGACAAAATAGCTGGGCAGAAGGACTGAGCCCACAGCTGTCCCTGGGAGCTTGCTGGATAGACGGGCCGTTTCTCTTCAGAGGCTGCTCCGGCCCGACTTCCCACTGCAGTGACGGTGTGATGGAGGCTGGAGAGGGAGGCTGTCAGAGAGAAGGGGCAGGAAGTCTCAGAATCAGAGGCCCGTGAGTGGACGCGTAATCCACGGGTGGGGTGGAACGTCCCGTGCACATTCATTTTCCACAGACAACCGGTAACTCCATCAAGCAAGCGGTTTTCGTAAATAGCAGTTTAAAAGAAGTTTGCTTTTAAAAAAGCACATCACAACGATAAACCCAAACTGCAAAGTGCTTGCCAAGGCGGTAACCCACCTGTGTGATGAATGGGCAGAGGTGCCCACAGGGCACCTGAGGTAGGTTTGGTCTACATGGAGCCGGAACAGGCCAGTCTGTGAGACAGTAGATTCGTGGTAACCAGGGTCGGGGGTGAAGAAGCAATGGAAAGGGACCATTCATGGGTACAGGGGCTCTTTCTTTTTCTTCCTTCCTCTTTCTCTTTCTTTATTTTTTAAAATTTGCTAGAGGGCACATGCATTCACCACAGAGAGAGAGAAGAAGAAAGAGAAAGCGAAAAAGCACCCCTAGGGTGGCCATGTACATCCCTTCTCCTCCGTTCTCCTCTCGGGCTTCTGGGTGCACCCGCACATGTGCCTTGGCTTGTTTTCCGAGCTGCTGGGTCCAGGACTTGAACCATGCAGTTGGTCATATGAGATCCAGCACTTTAACCACCACACCACCTAGTTTCTTCTGGGGTGATGAAAATGTTCTAAAGTTGGATTGTGGAGACGGTTCGGAAATTCTCTGACTATACTGAAATCATTGAATTTTGCATTTAAAATAGTACATTTTATGGTGTGTGAATTGCAGCTGCTTGAAGTTGTGTCTGGAAAAAAAAAGAATGAATGAATGAATAGGGCCAGCCTGTGGCCTGGTGGGTAAGGGCTGGATTCCACATGGTTGACCACACGGTTTGAGTCTCAGTTCCAGGAGCTTAAAAACTACATGAGGTGTGTGTATATGAGTCCCCAAAATCCTGAAAGAAGGGAAAATGGAGGAGAAGGGGTCGTGGAGTGCCATTCCATGGGGGCTCTCTCTCTTTCTCTACCTACCTGTCTCTGTGCAGCTAAGTTAAAAGGAGGGGCCAGCGGGTGGTGTGGTGATTAAGGTGCTGGACTCCCACATGGACAACTATGGTTGAAGCCCTAGACTCAGTGACTCAAAAAATCACACCAGGCTCATGTGCGAGCATGCCCAAAACCCTGAGGGAAGAACGGAAGACAAGGGGCTGCAGGTGGCCATCCTCCCTGGGGACAATTTCTCTCTCTCTGTCTCTTTCCGGCAGCGCACACTCCCTACGGCAAAAGCCTGAAAAAAATTTAAAAAAAAAAAGTGCAGCAAAAGCAGAGATACCACATAATTCATTTAGAGGCCTGCCCAGGGCCCTGGGTCCCCGGCCTGAGCTGATTGTTCAAAAGGGAGGTAAGGAGGGGCGAGGCGCCCTCACCCCACTGAGACCCTCTCCCTCCGCGACTCAGGGTTCAGGGAGCGTGGATCCAGTTTGATGCCAGGCCAGTCACCGCCTCACAGCCGCCAGGTGAGAAACTGAGGCCACAGAGGGCGGCGACCTGCAGGTGGCAGAGCTGGGGCCGCCGTGGCCTTGTCTTCCAGCTGGTCCCACAGCGCTGGGCCCTCACTCAGCAGAGAGAGCCCCTCCCCAGCCCTGCCAGGCCTCGGGAGACCACCAGCGTGTCACATGGGCAGCCGAGGGAAGGGCTTGGTCCTTGTCACGGTGAAGGGGAGGTTGTCACAGGGTGAGGAACCTGGACCCTGGGCTCCCGTGGTGGCAGGAGGCCAGTCCACTCCCCACCTCCGTCCAGACGCCTGTGGAATGTCAAGCCCCAGTGTGGCCATGGACAGCTGCTTCTCGCTCAGCCTCAGTCTCCCCAGTGGTGCTGGGAGCGCTTGCTCTGCCTGGAAGCCTTTCTTGCCGAGAAGGTGGACTCTTCAGTGGGACCCTTAGAGTGGGGGTGCTGACCCCAGCTCCAGCACCAGGTGGAGTGCCCAGGCAGAGAGAGGGCTGCTTTTGTGAAAACACAACCCAAAGACCACCTTCCCCTCTCCCAGCAGGCTCACGGCGGCTCACTGCATGCCCGGATGCCACAGCAGCCTCTCACAGACTGCTGTACCCCACTGCCAGGACTAGGAAGCGTGGGTGCAGAGCAGGAGGCCCAGACTCCCAGACACCTCCAGTCTCCTCCACCTCTGTCCTGGCCCAGAGCCTGGCTCCCCCACGAGCCATAGAGGCTGATGCTTGTGGGCGTTCTGTCTGCAGGGCCTGTGTGCGCTGTTTAGCTCCGATCATGGGACACTGGCTGCCTTTAAAAGAAGCCCCTAGCATCTGCTAAGGAGGCAGGTGCCTGTTCTGTGGCCCAGAGGGCCGGGAAGCCAGCATCTGGAAGGCTGGGCTGCCACGCCAGCTGCCAGACCCCGGAGGGCCCGCTGTACCCAGGAAGCCAGGCTGGCTTGCTGTGAGACTCTCTGGCCAAGGCTCCCAGATTTAGGTGAGGGTTCGCGGGCCCTGGTCTGGCCCTGGGGACCTGTCTGGGCCAGCTGGATCTCTTGTGCTGAGCCCCGCCCCTAGACTTGGTTATTAACCCTGGCCCCATGGTCCCTCTGCTTAACAAAACACCGCCCTTGGAGGTGAGCTGAGGTCTGGCCTCGGTGGGCGCAGGAGGTGCAGCTGTCTGAAGCTTCCGTGAGGGCTTCATCACCATTAAGGATGGAGACGGGGGAGCCAGGGGCCAGTGACTGACTCACTGACATCTGCTCCCCAGTTACGTAAAATAGAGCTCAGAGCCATTAGCCGACGGGAGATGAAATTTACATTTTGAATTAACTCGGATCATCAGAATGCTTCTGCTAGACCCAGAGAAATTAAACATGAAGTTGGAGGGAGCTGTGAGCAGGAGAGGTAGGGGACCAGCCAAGCATGCCAGATTGGCTTTTGCTTTTTCTTTTTCTCAATGGGCTGCAGGCACAGGGGATGGGAGTGTGCTGCTGCAGCCAGCCTTGGAGAGACGGAGGCGAGAAGTCGAGATTTTCGCTCTCTCTTTTTCCTTGGGCAGAAGCACAATAAATCCGCGTGGCAGAATTGACTTCCGATCACTGGGTTCCCTCCATCTCAGCCTCTCTTAATAATGCCTATTTACTGAGCACGTACTCTGTGTCTGGAACTCAGCTACACCCTGCTCAGACAGGACAGGGTAAATGTGTCTTTTCCCCTTTTTTTCTTTCCTACCTGTGTTCCTACTGGGAAGGGAGACCGATGGGAGACGTAAGAAGACAGGGTTTCAGGAATAAGCAGGGCGCTCAGTTGCACTAGGAGGTCTGGTTGGGCTTTCAGCTGCAGCCCTTGGGATCAAGGCCCTAAAGCTCCCGTCACAGTGGTGCACACAGAAGCCTGCTGCCTGGTCCTAAAGTCTATGTGGAGGCCACCTCCTCCCAGCCACCAGGGTGGGAGCCTGTGCACTGCTCAACCCAGCATAGCCCTTGTACGCTGGGGACTAATGGGACGAGGGACAGTGTTTGCACCTGCCTTTGGCCTCTGAGAATGTCTGCAACTGCCCCCTAGTGCAGGCCAGCCTTCCCAGAAAGGGGCAGGGTCTGAGTGTCCTGACTTTGTGCACACAAAGCTGCTGCGTCACCTGCCCTCCGCCCTCCGCCCTCCGCCCTCTGTCACCTCGGGGACTAAGCTCTGTATCTAACGAGCTGCCTGGCTTCAGGGACTGGGTTCTAACTCAAGCTGAGCTGACCTGCTGCAACCTCCAGCTCTCACCTCCTGCCAAGTTTGGCCTGAGGTGGTTGAAGTCCTTATCCCATGGGTGTTGGTTCTACGGGGGCAGGGGGGGGGGCATTCTCCGGGGCCCCTCCCACCTGTGGGGCTCAGTCACTGCGCACACGTGGGGAACTACTGCCGAAGACTCGAGTCTGCACTGCTGAGAGCAGGGCCTCTTCGCCAGGCTGGTGTACATGGACTGCATGACGCGGGTGCTGATCCCAGCAGCCCATGCCTCCCCGAACGGTGGGCCTCCGAGATCGATCTGTCGATTTCCAGCAGACGGTTATTGGGCACCCTCTGGCTGCCCAGCCCAAGTGCTTAGTTGAGCTGGTCAGGACTGTCTTTCCAACGAATTGGTCCCATAGGAGGTCCTGTCCTTTTCCTAGGGTCACTGAGAAACCCTAAGCTTCAAGGTATTAGAGCAGCGGTTCCTGCGGGCCAGAACCCACAGACCCCGTTCTCTGCCCCGTTCAGAACGGCGTGGCGCGGTGGTCAGCCTCCTGGCCCCACCCCTCAGACTCCAGGATTCCGCCTGGGCAGTGGAGAAGGTGCATTTGTGCCCATCTCAGCCACTCATCTGCCCATCTGTCTGTCTGTCCATCCTTCCATCCACTGAGGCGGTCCTTTGCTCTGCCATTTAATTGTCCATCCTCCACATGCTCTCCGTACACACATGCGTATGTGGGAAATCGTTCCACGCCACCCTCACCTGCCCCATCCGCCCACCAGACCCCGCATCCACGCTCAGCTCACCCTCTCATCCCCAAGGCCACCCACGCGCCAAGCTTCGGGCCCCAGGGTTTGCATCAGCCCTGCCTGGTCTCCCCAGATTTCTTTAGGAAACAAATGCTATGCAATCAGAGACAGCGAGCCGGGAGCCCTCCGAAGACAGCCAGGCCACTAGAAAGGCTCAGAGGAAGGGCAGGAGAGTCAGGGGAGGCTCCTTGGAGGAAGCAGCATTTGGTCAGAGTCATAAAAATGCTATTGAATTTGGAAAATCAAGGTCTATAGGTCAGAGTGTAGGGTTGCAGGTGAGTTCCAGGGTGAGTGGGGTCAGGGTGGATGGTGGTGGAGTGTTTCAGAATGGATAGAGAGTGAAGAGAGGGCTGGATGCTGTGTAGACCGACGGTTAAGGTTGACTGGATGGAGGATTGGTTTGGTCAGACTGCAGGCAGGAATATGGGACAGGGAGGGAGGTAGTGGCTGCCCCACCCCGGGCCGGTTATGCTGTGGAGTAAGGGGCATTTTCTTAGATGAGAGATGGTGATGGGAGGACTAGGGGAGAGAGGCCTCGCCCAAGAGCAGCCCCTACTACCCTCGCCCAGGGATGCAGGAGCCAGTCAGCACCGTGGACAGGCCCAGGCTGCCAGCCGTCCCGTCTGCCCTCAGGGGCTTGTGGCCTAACCCCAGCCAGCAGCAAACTCCAACAGCGAACCTAGAAAACAGGAGTTTGATAGTCAATGTGCAACTCAGAAAAAGCCTCACTCCGTGGAGGTTTCCTAACTGCATGGACGAACAAAGGGGCCGCAGAAATCGAGCAAGTCCGAGAGTCTTGCCCCTGGCAGGGGAGGAATCGGGCCTTTGGTGGCCTGAGGCCCCAGCGCTAACCTGCTGTTAAGCTAACATTCTCAGCATCTGAAAAGTCCAGCCTAATTTCCAGGAGGAAATTAGATGAGAAGTGGCTTTAAAAAGTCTCACATTTAAAAACTTGGTTGCCAGAGAAACCTTTTCCCCTGCACTTCCTTGCCTCCACCGTATAAAGTAGGCCCCTCACTGAAGGGTGATGAAGGTACTGGTGGCGACACAGCAGAGAACTGTAACGGGGAAAGGGCCCAACTCCTCAGGGCGCCTGCCTTCCTCAACACTGGAGGAGCTAGGCCCATCACTGCATGCGGGGGCTCGGAGGCCCCTCCAGCGGGAAGGCAGAGCAGCACATGGTGGCACGCCATCTTCAGCTCAAGGCCGAGGCCCGCCGAAAGGAACTCCCAAATGCCACACTGCCACCCCGTGGGCCTCAAGCAGGCAAAAGCGCAGTGCAGGAACCGAGCGGACTGCGACAGCTGCGGTGCTCCGTCCCCTGCAGCGGGCTAGTGTGTGCAGCCTCAGGTCAGGCTGAAGCAGCTGACCTACCACCTTCAGGGAGGAGGCGAGTTAGCAGTCAGTCCGGGCCCCACCAGCCGTCCATGTGTCCACTCACCTCTCTCCATCTGTGCTCTCATCTCACCGTCCATCGAAACAGCTGTCCACTCACTGAGCTAGGCATCCACGCCTATTTATCTGCTCACCGACCTACCTGTCCACCTGTTCATCACCACACACACACACACACACACACACACACTCGCACTCACACCACCATCATGTGGATGGATGAATGGGTGGATGAAAGGATAGTGGGAGGGATGAATGAGTAGTTGGGGTTGGATGGATGGAGAGTGGATGAGTGCACCCGATCCATACATTGTCCTTCGTTTACCTATCTAGGCATCCACTCACCTACACAGCCACCTGTTCATCTATCCATCCATTATCAGCTCCCCGTCCATCATGTGCCATCCATCCATCCATCATCTATCCATTACCCACCCATCACCCATCAATCTATCCATCCACCTACCCACCATGCATTTGCCTATCCATCCACCCACCCATCCTTCCATCCTCCGCCCATCCTTTCATCACCCGCCGTCCAGTCAGCATCATCCGTCCAGCTGGGCACCCATAATTATAATGACACCTGCCACTCACTGAGCACTCACTGTGTGGAGGACTTCCCAGGCATTACTCTTCACCCTCCCCTCAGCACTGGGACTGGGCGTTATTATCTATCCCCACTCAGTAGATGGGTCAGTAGAGGAGTTCTGGCCAGCCAGGGAAACCCTTGTCTACACCCCTGTAAGAGAGGGGGCCATGGATTTTTGTTATCCTGTGGATTAGTGATTCTGCCCAAGAGCAAGACTTGAAGGAGGGTGGGGGACAGGAGCTTGGATGAAGCCTCTGGAGGAGGCTGGGCTCACGGGCCCCAGGTCTGGCTGCACTGGCCCTGACCTCCTGCCCGTGCCCCTCAGCCCACCCTGCCTGCTCACATCTGCCCCTTCCCCTTCACACAGGGCAAACACTGCCAGCGTGGTCAGGGTGCTGGTGCCAAGATGAAAGTCCAGGTCAGGGACCTTGCTTGGCCAGGCAAAGCCCCCAGGAAGTGCTGTTCCCAGAAGCCAGGGCCTTTCCCCCAGTGAACTTTGGCCTCCTTCCTCCACCCTTCCAGGGAATGCCCAGTAGGCAAATGTGCACCCCAGCTTTGGCCGCTGCCTCCCCACCTCCTTCCAAGGAACCTCCAGGCCCAGGACCAGGTGGCCGAGACCTCAGACGCTGGCATACAGCGGGCTGGGGTCCACGTGAGAGTGAGGGGAGGCGTGTTTGCTGACTCCCACAGCCTGGGCAGCCCCGCCAGGGAGGAGGCCATGGTTCACAGTGCAAGATGACTGTCCCTTAGTCACACCGTGAGTTTGAGGCAAGGAGAATGTCCAGAGACCTGTCAGCCGCAGCTCCTGGAGGCAGACTGCGGCGGGCAGGGCTGAGCGTATGGACAGGCCATCAACTGCACCCTAGCTGTGTGAGCTGGGGGAGTCAGCCAGCCTCTCTCCGCCATGGCTCCATTTCCTGTAGAGGGAGATGACAACACAGTACTATGGGGTTGGGAGGGCTCAAAGATGGGTGTGCACTGAGCGCTCCAGATACCCCAGGGCATGCTGAGCACCACAGCCTCCTGCGAGCCCTAGAGGTCCGCGCAGCACGGTTCGTTGGACCGAGGAGACGGCTGTGGCTGGTGACTTCCTCCAGCCACCCCGCAGGGACCAGGAGCCGAGAGAGGCGGGATCGATCTGCTGTCACTCAGATCCACGAAGGGCACCCTGAGCCTGGCAGCTCTGTGGCTGCTCGGCAGCGAGAGGCTCGCTGCCCGCAGAGGCACTGGGAGAGCGGGACCTGGGAAGGGGGCGCCCTGAGGCACGCCCTTCATGGCTCTCCTCACAGGTACCTGGGCTCACAGGTGTGAGCGTCTGTGACCCGGAGGGGCCAGTGAACGTTCACTGAGTGAACTTCTGAGGCGCAGGGGCTGTCTCGTACCTACTGCCCACTGTGGCACCCAGCACAGCGGCCAGTGCCCGGTGGACACTCAATGATGCCTACTGCAGCTGAGCCTCATGAGAAGGCCCCCAAAGCAGCTAGGACCTCAGTGTCCTGTTTATAGGGCTCTGGGGACCTGAGCGGCTGCCCAAGGTCACACAGATGCCCAGGGGCAGGCACAGTGGGACGGAGCCCAGAGGTGCTGCTTCCACCCCTTGCTCCCCAACCATCTGCTGACCCCGACTCCTGCATGTCTCCAAGCCTTTAGCTGCTGCTTGGACAAAGGCTTGCTCCAACCTGGGAGCCTGAACTGAACATCTCGTGGCAGGTGCTGGGGGCCTGGGGGCAAGCCGGGAGCAGCCCCCTGCCCAGGAGGTGGCTCTGGAAGCCCATGGAGCTGTTCCCTGTGCCCTGAGCAAACCCTGCAATATGAGACATGTGCCCCCCAGCCCCCTCGGGCCCTCTCGGGTCTCCTGGAGCATGCCCGGGACGTCATGTCTTCCTTCCCATCTGGTTGAGTAAACCCCGGAGTCTGCTGTGAGCCCTGCCAGACTTCGCCCTCCTCTGAGCGTCCCTCAGCCAAATAATGGTGATGATGGTAACAGTAGCCACAAGCGTCCTTCACGGAAGCCTTGGCGTGACCTGCCTCGGCCCCTCTCGGCCCAGGTACCCGGTAGAGACGCTGCTCCACCTCCCGTCTGCAGGGGGGAAACCGAGGCTCGGAACTGGAGAGGTGGTGCCCAGGGAGCCTGAGGCCTCTCCTTCCCGCAGACAGTCAGAGTCACCCAAGGTCGCCGCAGCCGCCGCAGTGGCAAGGCAACGACAGTGTTCGGCTTCTGGTCAGGTCTTCCTCCCATCACGACGCGCCACACAAGGGAGGGGAGGCGGGCGCGGGGGCCGCCAGGGGCCGCTTTAATTCATGAGTTACTGGCAGAAGCACAATCTCGGGGGAAGATTGATGACCAGCTGCAGGTATGGGTGGGCGGATTCCAAAGGCTGTCGGCAGCAGGCCGTAAATCAGACAAATACCCCAGCCCGCCTGGGGGGCAATCCCAGCCGGACAGCGGCAGGGGGGGGGGGCGGAGGC